CACACAGCTAAAATAATGAAGGAGTGGCTTCACAACAACTCCATGACTGTTCTTGAATGGCCCAGCCAGAGCCCTGACTTAAACCCAATTGAGCATCTCTGGAGAGACCTGAAAATGGCTGTCCACCAACGTTTACCATCCAACCTTACAGAACTGGAGAGGATCTGCAAGGAGGAATGGCAGAGGATCCCCAAATGCAGGTGTGAAAAACTTGTTGCATCATTCCCAAAAAGACTCATGGCTGTATTAGCTCAAAAGGGTGCTTCTACTAAATACTGAGCAAAGGGTCTGAATACTTATGACTATGTGATATTTCAGTTTTTCTTTTTTAATAAATCTGCAAAAATGTCAAATTCTGTGTTTTTCTGTCAATATGGGGTGCTGTGTGTACATTGAGGAAAAAAAATGAACTTAAATGATTTTAGCATATGGCTGCAATATAACAAAGAGTAAAAAATTTAAGGGGGTCTGAATACTTTCCGTACCCACTGTAGATTTGTTTAGATGTAAGAATGGATGAAAATATAATCTTTCATCATGGGAGATTCCAAGATTTGTCATTAAGCTGATGAGGTCACATGGTTTTATTTCCTGCCACTGATTAGGAGAATCAGAATCTGCTTTATTGGTGAGGTGTGTTGGAAACGTACGGAATTTGACTCTGGTACATCGGCTCTCAATATATATGTACATATCCCCATGCAAGGGGCAAGTAAACAGTAAACTTTCAGCTTTTTCCCATTTTAGGGGTCGAAACAGCGAGTAGTCAGTGTGATGACTCGCATGTTGACATTTGGCACGTGTTTTACGCTGGATGCCCTTCCTGACATAACCCTGACTTGAACCCGGGCCGCAGCGGCGAGAGTGCTGTGCCTTAACCACTAGCCTGTGTAATATAGCAAAATAAGCAGTATTTACAAGCAACAACCAGAGCAAACAATGCAAAATAAGCAGCATAAACAGGCAGTAAACAAAGGAATGCTCACTGAAATGAGATAATAGGAATAAAAATCGAGTACCTGTACGAATCTGTATAATTTGTATGAGGTCTATTTACAGGTATTGCACTGAGGGTTATTATCCAGTTATACTGTCGTTGGTTAGAGTGATGGCTTGGGGGAAGAAACCTGTCCCTGTGCCTGGTTGTCTTGGTGCACAGTGACCTGTAACGCCATCCAGAGGGGAGGAGTTCAGACAGATTATGTCTGGGGTGTGAGGGGTCTGCAGTGATCCTCTCCACCTTCCTTTTGACCTTTTGACCCATGAGGTGTACAGGTCCTCCATGGAGGGCAGGCTCACACCAATGACCTTTTCTGCAGTCCCTGTTCACTGAAGTCTGTACTTGTCCTGTTTGGTTGCTGAGCCAAACCAGACAGTGATGGAGGAGCAGAGAACAGACTCGATGATTCCTCTGTAGAAATGTATCAGCAGCTTGTGGGGCAGGTTGAACTTCCTGAGCTGGCACAGGAATTACATCTTCTGCTGTGCCTTCTTGATGATGGTCCTGATGTTGGACATTTACTTCAGGTCCTGGGAGATAGTGGAGCCCAGGAACTTGTAGGACTTTACTGCTGATACAGTGCTGCCAACTATGGTGAGGGGTGGGGTAAAGGTGGGAGGGCTCTTCCTGAAGTCCACTGTCATCTCCACTGTTTTGAGCATGTTCACCTCCAGGTTGTTGCGGCTACATCACAGGACCAGCTGCTCAACCTCCCGTCTGTAGGCTGACTCGTCACTGTCTCGGATGAAACCAATGACCGTTGTATCATCAGCAAACTTTAGGAGCTTGACAGAGGGGTCCTTTGAGATGCAGTAACTGGTGTAAAGTGAAAACAGTCGAGGGGAGAGCAAACATACCTGGGGGGCACCTGTGCTTATTGTCCAGGTGCTGGATTTGGTTTTCCCCAGCCTCGCCCTTGGGGAGGTGACAGTGGTGCAGTGGGTGGAGCAGTTGTCTCCAAACCAGAAGGTTGAAGGTTCGAATCTCAGTGCCAGAAGTCCACATGTTGAAGTGACATTGTTTCTGGTACAGAACCGATGGCAGCCATCTGCGGCGCCACCTCAGCTGATGGCTCCCACCATCAGCAGCCAAAGGGGGTCAGTGTCTTGCCCAAGGACACTTCGACACGTGGACTGCCAGCACCAAAATTCAAACCTTCAACCTTCTGGTTGGGAGATGACTGCTGCACCACTGTCACCCCCCTCTGCTTTAGTTTCCCATCATCTGGAAGTTCTTCCTGTCTCAACTTCTGTCTGAATTCCTCACAACATTCTTTCTTTTGCAACACCGACTGATCCCGGGACGTAACAGGGAGGGTGAGTGTTGTTTGTAAAACCTGTAGTAGAACACATTCAGGTCATCCATTAGTTGATGGTCCTCCACAGCAGGGCGGGTGGTTTCCTATAGCCATTGATGCTTTTCAGGCTTCCCCACACAGAGTCAGTAATAATGAGCAGATTTCAGGTTTGAACATTGATTTCTCAGACTGATGGTGGCTATGTGTCACTCTCCATCTCATACTTCTTGTGAATTGATGTGTGGGGGAAAAACAAAGGTTTGTTGTTTGCCACTGACAGGAGAGGCTCTGACACAAAGCAGCCTCCTGGAGGCTGACGGGGAAAACGGAGATAGTATGGTCACCATGACAACAACTGTGGAATCCATGAATCTTCATCATGCTATGCTGAGATCACCAGGTAGGTGTTTGCACATGTATAACACAAAATATACACAAAAGCAAAGAATTGTCAAAACAGACCTATAGCTCTGACTTAGCCTCCTCAGTTCAGCTCTTCACTGTTTTGACCACTGGCTTCGCAGCTTTTAGTTTCTGTCTGTAGGTTGGAATAAGAAGAACCATACAATGATCAGAGCGTCTGAGGGCTGCGCTGGGGACAGAGCTCTGGGCATCTTTTATTGTTGTGTAGCAGTGGTCTAGTGTGATTTTGTCCCTGGTGGGACAGGTGGTGTGCTGTTTGTATTTGGGCAGTTCGTGAGAGAGGTTTGCTCTGGTTAAGTCCCCTAGAACAGGGTTGGCCAATTCCAGTCCTCGAGGGCCGCTGTCCTGCTTGTTTTCCCACTATCCCTGCCTGACCTGCTGCTGATTACCTGGCTCAGGTGTGTTCAGCCAGTCAGAAGCTGGAAGATACCAATTCACTTTATCTTTCCTCACTCCACTTTCATCTAAGATGGTTTCTTAGATTCGCTCTGAACACCTGAAAGCCCGGTACTTGTATCGTGCTGTCCGTGATCGGGTTGCTCACGGGTGTCCATGAAGTGCAAAGCAGCAGAGCGTGCAAAGTCAGAGTTAGTCCTGTTGATGAGAAGAATTTCATCCATTTTGTTGACCAGGGAGTAGCGATTTGCTAGCTGGATAGATGGGAGTGGAGTCCGGGTCTATCCCTGTCGTAGCCTCACCAAGGCGCCCGCATGCTTGCCACGTCGACGGTTTTTCCAGGTCCCGTATATTGCCACTGCACCTCCGATTAGAATGTCCATACAGCGTTCTTCGTTCACAAAAATCGGAGGATGATAGTTCGGTGTGAGTTGTCCAATATTTAACAGTTCTTCTTTAGTAAAAGTAATCCGGGATGGGTTGCAAAAGACCAAGAAAACAAAGAAAAAGAAGGAACACAAGGAAGCACGAGTAACTACGGCTGCCATCGCTGCCTGGCGCCTGAAGTAGTTGTTGGAGATGCATATTTTATAATTCGGGTGGTTAATATTTCCTTGATGACAAGCAGTACTGACCTTATACATGAATAAAAATACACGTCAAGTCCTGACTTACAGTTATACAAGTATAAGTGAGGACTTTATTCACTGGTTTGGAGTTCTTATAGTTTCCTTACATTTGATTCTCTGAGTGCCAGTATAGTATGACTATTTGGCAGAAGGCATTTAAACAGTAAAACACTTTGAAATCTTTAGGGGCAGCTACTCACAGAAGAGATAACTGCTGTGGCTTGGGTTGATGCTGTAAAACATGTTTTACATTTGCCACAACCCAATCAGGAATGTTAACCTGTTTGTTTTGCTGTTTGACAGCTGACATGGACATCAGCTGTCACAAGAGCATAATTAAAACATGCTTGAATGTAGAGCTTTGATTGAAGTATAATTCTGCCATTGTATGGCATTGGCCCTTCTTCCTGTGCTGTTGAGAGGAGGTGAATCCTCCCAGAAAATATAGCTGTAAGTAGAGATGCACCAATTGCAATTTTCTTGTCCGATTTCTTTTCTAATTCCAAGGTTCCCACTTTCTAGGAACTGTAATTGACAGCATACACAAGCAATTTTGTAACTTTTTTTTTTTATTAAATATTAAATTGTAATAAAACTAGAGCATTGCATTCAAATTTTACAGTTTCTTTCTCTAACAGTTTTTTTGTACAAACTAAAAAAGAAGTGCAATGTTTTTACTTCTCCAAATGTAAACAGGTGCAAAAGGTAATAGAAACAAGCATGTCTGTTACATCAGTCCTACTGAGCACAGTTCTTTTTCAAGGGTGGGTAGTTTTTAAATTGCTGTGTTTTACCATTGGTTGGATATACAGTGCATAAGTAATTTCCTCATTGTGTAGCCTACTATTTGTTTGAGTTTGGAACAGTTCTTTCCCATCTCAAGGGTGTTTCTATAGGCTCCTCTGTGTGCTTTTTGTACACAAGTGTTTCAGATGCATGGGTGAACACATGCCCCGGTATAGACAGGAGCGCGAGTCTTGCTTGAAGTGCATGCAAGATGCTACGTGCTGCACATGATACTCTTTCAGTCTGTGCCACTATGCGTGTGATGTCGTCCCTTTAAATCTGACTGGAATTGGAAACCTCAGAGTGATTGGCTGGTCACCATTTAAGGCCAATCACGCTGAAAACTGGCCATTTTTGATCTCTGCTGATTGATCTGTACATCTCTAGCTGTTAGTTGGCTTGATGAACCACTTAATGGAAACCAGGTAAACTTCTAGTTTGTTTTATTGTAGCTCATTTGAAAAGACTGAAACAGTGTACAAAGAGATTGCTACATTATTTGAAAGTCTAAGAATACAAATGGAAGTTGGAAATAAGTTTGTACATACTTTAGGTCTGTAGTGTGGAAAATTTCTGAAAAAGTTTTAGGAATGATTGAATCCAGCAAGTAACAAGAAAAGGACTATACAATAAATGTTTTATGTAGCTATAAAATAACAAAGAAAAGGAGTGGAATCTTGACATATGAAGTTCATAGGAAGCAGTTTTTATTCCTAAGTTGGGTATAGTGTATGTTTAAATCTGGACTTTTTTTTTTCTGCCTGTTGGTTATGGTACCTGTCTTGTTCCGGTTCTCCCCCCACACACTTATAGATAGAAGAACAGCCTGTTATTTAGAAATAATCCTTCTCTTTCTTCTGTTCAATGTTTAATCATGTAGATTTCCACAGAGGGTTGAATTTATTCACTTTTTTCTCATTGCATGATAAAACAGGAAAGCTTAAGTGTAATTGAATTCCCTTCTGTTGCATTTCTTCTTCCTACTGAATGAAAAGGTGTCCTTGCAGCACAAAGAAAGCAAATCAGTGAAATTTTATCTTTTGAAAATGGCCAGATTCAGTCATCATAGATGTTTGAGACGTACCTTTGATTCGTGTGAAAGTAAGAGTCTCTGTGTGTAGAGGTGGTGACCAGTTTTGTTTCATTGTGATTGTTCTGAATTGTATGGAATTCTTTCAACAGCCATAGTCAGTGTATAAAAGGTAAATTTTAACATACTTTGTTCTGGCCAAATGTGATTTAATTAATTGTTAAGTTCCTTTGTTTTTCACTTGGCTAATGCAATAATGAAGTATTCATCTCTGTCTTTTTTTCTCTGTCCTCATTGTGTTTATGTACTTTATCACCCTCTCCCTTTCTTCCCTTCTGTGTTCACCACTTCTGTTTTCCACATTCCTTCTCCTCTTGCCCACTTTCCTTTACCTTTTCTTTTAATTATTTAATCTCCCCGTCTTTCCCTTATCTTCATGTTTTCATGGAATTTTTTTGGGACTCCAGTCTAATTAAAGCAGGCAACAAGCCTCCTCCAGCCACACCAGGCAAGCCCAAGAAGGCCACCACCTTTCAGGAGTTTGAAAGCACCACAAGTGATGCCTGGGATGTCGGGGATGATGATGATGAGCTGCTAGCCATGGCAGCACAGAACCTCAACATAGAGGTGGTCATGGAGACAGCCAATAAGGTGAAAGAATAATTATGTTTGATGGATGTCTTTTTCCCCCATAGGCGCTTGGTTCCACTCTGCCAGCCTATTGGCATATTGAGTCTTTTTTTAGTGCTTTCAAAGCATTTCCACCAGTGTTTGCTCTTTCCAAGCAGGTTTGTGTTCACAAGATATTAGGGCTGCGCAGTTATGGAAAAAATCATAATCATGATTATTTTTGGTCAATATTGAGATCACAGTTCTTTAACGAGATTACTCATTGACATCATGTATTTATTAAACTTTTATTAGAGATTTGTCTTTTAATAGTAGGTTTTCTTGAACTTTAAATATGAGTCAACTGAAAAGCAATTTGCTGTAAGTATTTCATCTACCTAATTGTGATTGACAGTTCCAAGAAAATTATATGCATTCTTACAAATAAAACTTTGCTACTTCAGGTTAACAGTATTGCTTGTCACAACCTAAAGAATCTCCTGGGCTCACCATGACACAGCCACATCTATTTCTATCTCTGTTTTGCTTAATAGTGAGGCTACATACAGTCATCTTTCCTTTTAGCTTATTCATAACTGTTACAGTCCTGGCCAAATATATTGGCACCCCTGCATTTCTGTTAGATAACACACCGCTAGTCCCAGATGAGTTTCAATCTAGCCTTAGGGTTTGCAAGCCAGTGACTTCTGTGCCGGTCCCCGGCCTGGATATATATAGAGAGGGTCTGGATATATAGAGAGGGTTGCGTCAGGTAGGGCATCCGGCGTAAATGCGAATCATCAGTGTGAATTCCATACCGGATCGGTCGAGGCCCGGGTTAACAATGACCGCCACCAGTGCTGTTGACCTACAGGGTGCTGGTGGAAATTGGACTACTGTTGGTCGAAGAAGGAGAGGAGGTAGAAGGATTCGTAGACAGAGAGAGAAGAGGAAAGGCAGGAGTATAGGTCTGAGAATAGGGACTCTTTTAACGTTGGCACAATGACAGGGAAAGGTAGAGAGCTGGCGGACATGATGGAGAGAAGGAAGGCAGATATACTGTGTGTGCAGGAGACCAGGTGGAAGGGTAGCAAAGTGCATAGTATCGGAGGGGGATACAAACTGTTTTATTATGGTGTGGACAGTAAGAGAAATGGGGTAGGAGTGATCCTGAAGGAGGAGCTCATGAGGAATGTTTTAGAGGTGAAAAGAGTGTCAGACAGGGTGATCAGTTTGAAGTTGGAAATTGAAGGGGTAATG